TTAATATTTTAAAATATTAGGATAAGGCTTCAAGTATTACGTTTAGTGTAAAATGATTCAGAGGAAAATCAGCAGGCTGGCTCCTACCTTTCCTTAGCTCTACATGACAGTAGCAGTCCTTGGAATGAATCCCCCTAAATCTAGAGAGTGGTAGAACACGCCTTTAATCCAGCACTTGGGAGGCAGAGGCAGGTGAATCTCTGTGAGTTGTGAGGTCAAGGTCAGCCTGGTCTAAATAGCAAGTTCCAGGCCAGTCCTGCCAGGGCCACTACAGTAAGACGATGAGGAGGCGGGCGGGGTGGAGAATGAATTTGATTTTAGAATCAAATTCTAGTTGGAATTGTTCACTTAGTTGCAGGACAGTGCATTTCAATATAAACAACCTAGACAATACAGTATCCATGTGGTTTAATTGAAAAGTTTACTTCTTAACCCAGATGAAAGATTAATCAAGTCACTGATGCATCAAAAATAACAATAACAAGAAAACTGCCAATGAGAAATTGTGATACAAAAACAGTTCCTGGCAGTTAGCACTGGACTCATTTGGAGTTAAAATAAAGCCAAACAGTGTAATAATAAACTGGAACAGCTATTCTAGAACATCTTGATAAAAATAAGTATGTACTTGGAAAAAAAAAACAAAAGAGTAACCTAATTTCTTCCTTTCACAAAAATTAAATTTCAGAATAGTTCTGAAAAATTGTATCCCAAATGTGAAGCGTCACTAGTCCTCACACAGTAAGTTCTGAGAAATCCATTTAGAAAGCAAGGGGTAGGGGCTGGGGAGATGGCTCAGTGGATCAGATGCTCACCAGATCCCTGGAGTGCACACAAAGGCTCCACCGTCATGGTGAGCAGCCTGTAACCCCAGCACCTAAGCGACAGAATCAAGGGCCCCCTGAGCTAGCTAGCTAAAACAGTGGGGATGTGCACACTCAGGGTCAGTGAGAGACCTTGTCTCCCAAAATAAAGTGGAACAGGATCAAAGGAGACCCCCCAACTCTGGGTCTGCAAGATGGCTAAGCCTCACAGCCTGACTTAGATTTCCAGGACAAACATACTAAAAGGAAATAAATGACTCCTGAAGGTTGTCTCTGACCTCCATACATGATCCCCCCCAAAAAGAAAATAATTTAAAGAACTTTATGAAGAGACTGGACAACAACCCCTAGTCTATACATATGTAAACATGCATAGACATAGCGCATGCACACGCGCGTGCACACACACACACACCAAAAACAACCAACAGAAGACATTTAAAAGGAATGCAATCTAATATGTCAAAAATGTACAAGATTCCTACCTAGACTGGCATGGGGGAAGTGTGTCTGTGATCTGAAGGGAAGACTCAGCACTGACTTTCTGGAGGGAAGTTAGCATTGTACTGACATTCCATCCCCAAAGCTCCCTGGGGCTTGGGAAGGTCTCCACCAATCAGCTCACTCTAGTCTACTTTCTGAACCAATGGGGAGTCTAGGAGCTCTCTTAGGAGTGCAGATTCCCAGTGTACCCTCAGCTTTTTTTGAAACTCTCCTATGAAGACTATCTGAAGAAGGCTATTTCACTCCTTCCAGAATTCAAATTTTTTTTTTCAGTTGTAATTATTACAAACTCTGCTCCCAGCCTGCAGCCTGTCTGTCAATTTAGGCATACTGTCATGAAGAAAAGATTTTCTTTCCTTTTATCTACTGAATATAGATCAATTTCTTGATTTTTTTCCTGCAGAATTTGTGTCTTGGGTTCATGTTTAAGAGATGCTAGCCTACCCAAATGTCATAAATAATTTTTTCTACTAGCTTATTATACTACTTGCTGCTAATAATTAAATCTTAACCCATCTGCATTTAAAGGGATCTTCCTGTGGCCCTATCTGGCCTGGAACTCTCTGTGTAGACCAGGCTGGCCTTGAACTCCCAAGTGCTAAAATTAAAGGCATGCACCACCACACCTGGCAATATTTTATTTTATATTTTTAAAGATTTATTTTTATTTTTATTTTATGTGGATGAATACTTTGAATGAATGTATGTATGTGTACCACATGCATGCCAGGTGCTTGCAGAGGCCAGGAGGAGAAGTTGGATGCCTGGAACTAGAGTTACAGATAACTGTAAGCTGCCACGTGGGTGCTGGGAACCAAACCCAGGTCCTCTGTAAGAGCAGCCAGTGCTCTTAACCACTGAGCCTTCTCTCCAACCCCCACTTGAAGAATTTTTTAGCTGTGTCTATGTGCACACACCTGTTTACTCTCTTCCGCTTTTGTACAACAAAAGAAAAGGAACCTTGTTTTGTGCATTAATAAAATAATCTGGAAGAATGACCCCTACGGAAAAATCTTTCTCTGGACAAATTCCATAGGCAGAACAGCACTGTGGGAAGTAGAGGCGAGATGGAGAGATTGCCTAGGGTCTTAGACCCCACACTGGGTTTGAAGTTTCCCCCATGCCAATAGCTTGAAATGGACGTTGGCAAGTTAAACACATATTGATATAAGGTTTCTTAGTTTCCAAGCTTGTTCAGTGTGTATTACTATGCTCACAAATTTTAATATGATGAAGGATTAGGGCTCCCTTTTTGAAGAGGGTGGGTAAAGTTGCCACACATACCCCTGACCTCGCCCCAAGAAGTCACAAGTCAGCAACAAGGAAATACCAATTCTGTGTTTGGCAAAACAAGAGAGCGCCAAAGACCCACGCCCTGACCTGCAAAGGGTACTCCCATAGTCCCTGTAGATCAACCAGGTAGGAATGATGTTTACGAAATGGACAGGATCTGGACAAATGACTTTTACTCAACCTTGCAACCAAAAAGCCATAGTTTATGATGTAAACAAGCTCACTGAGCCATGTGCTCTTGTGACCTGGGCTCCTGACCTTGATCCCTAGAGACCCCACTTTGCCCTCCCCCCAAGATGGTGAATGAATGTGGGTGTGCGTGAATCAGCACCTAAGGCGCTGGAAGTGTTGCGTATTCACTTTCCTGTCCTCTGTGGAAGCCTGAGAATTGACACAAATGTCTGACATTGTGTAGGAGATATTTCAGATCCAGGGATCGAAGTGCAAGATTCTCTGATAAGGGTAGATCCAAACTTGTAATTCCCCAATTCACATTGGAGAAAGGGTTTTGAATAAGAGTATGAGGACTGGCTGGGTAGCACAGTTCCCTAAAAGATCTGAAGGAACAAACTCTCGGTGTCCACATCCTCTCGACTATTAAAACTTAATAATAAAAGTCAGGTTGATTCTTTACTCGGCTACAACCTTAGTGTGACTTCGTGACGCTGTACAACAAGACCTTCAAGAGGAAAAGCAAAGGAGAGTCACACAGCTGCAGGTCTTAGGAGGAACGGAAAGGAATATTTACTCTCCCCAAAGAGAGACTCCGAGTACCATCCCAGGAGCCCTTGTTTGTGATTTAGGGCCAAGGTTTGCAGTGGGAGTAGCCGCTTCTGCTGACGGTGAGGAGAACCTGCCCTTATTTTTCTTTTGCCTCACTAATTAAAAATAATGTTAGACAACTGATGAGAAGTTACCTCACAAAGGAAATACCTATTAGTTCGCATCATGGCACAGGAGGTGCCTAATAGCTTGCAGTATGTCCAGGTTTTCACTTCCAGGACCTTTCCTTCAAGCAGCGATCCAAGAACAAGCTAATTCCATTCAAAGGTGACTAATAAATGAGGACTATGAGTACAGAGAGTTACAAGGAAAAGCCCATGAAGACAGGGATGGAAAAAAAGAATTGCAGATAAAGACCAGGTACCAGGAAGATATACCACAAACACGCGGAAAATATGGGCAAACGTGTCGTGAATTTTTAAAATTCAGAAAGTGTAAAAAAGAGATGCGAAGGCTCAAAGATGGAATCGTGAAACAGAAAAGATTATAGAATGTGCAGAAAAAGAAAGATCTGACAGGCTTCACAGAGAAATATGCAGCTGCTCAAAGAGGAAATGACTGACGAAAACATGCAGAGAAAGAAGAAAACAGCCCAGCAATGCCCGTCGAAAGGAAGTCTGCTTGGAAAAGATTAAAGTGAGAACCCTGCCCAGCCAGACAGAAGACGGGTGAGACAACATAACTGGACTTCTTCCTAAAGGGTGTGGAACAGAATATTTAACAACCTAGTTCCAGAACATTTTCAGAAATAAAACAAACCTCATTGTGTAGGTTGAATCAAAAGAGATGCTGCTGGGCATGAGGCTCCATTGGCTGAACCTACCTGGCATGCACAGAGCCCTGGTTCCATCCCCGGTGCCTAGTAAGCCAGGCATGGTGAGCCAGGCCTGTGGCCCAGAAGTAGCAAATGGGAGGTGGGGCAGGAGGACCAGGAATTCAAGGCTGTCTTTGGTTATACAATAGGTTTGAGACCAGCCCCAGAAGAGGGGGGGAGAGAGACATGGGGTTTCCAACATAACAAAACAAGGCGAATGGGCTTTCTCTCCTCCTCCCCTTCCCCATCTTTGAAAGTCATGTTCAACTTACGGATTCTGATGTCTCAACATTTTAAGATTATAGGCATTATATAATTTTCACTTAAATTTTTTCCCCAAACTCAAAGGAATTGTTCAGTAATCTCATTTAATGTCTGTATTTTTCTTTTTGTTCCAGAAAACTGCGAATATTTTTGAATTTCAGAAATCTTCAGACTTGCTTAAAAGATGCCATTCTGCTAGATTACTATGTATCTGGATTTTTGTGGGCTAAAGAAATGAACTTTTCCATTGATCAATATTTAAAATTCATGACTTTACTAGATATGTTACTTCATAATCTTCAAAGTAAGTACATTCCTTTTACGGCTTTGTGTGTGTGTGTGTGTGTGTGTGTGTGTGTGTGTGTGTGAGACTGGATCTCCCTGTAGCCCCAGCTGACCTGGAACTATGTAGGCCAGGCTGGCCACGAATTTACAGAGATCCACCTGCTTCTGCCTCCCAAGTGCTGGGATTAAAGGCGTGCACTACGCCCAACAATTACTTTTATGTTTTTTAAGAGGAGAAATTTAGTGTATACTTCCTAAATTAATATTCTTAAGTGTTATTCCTCATTTTACTGCAATTCCTTTAATAAAAATCATGGGTTTGCATCCTGGATACAGCAAAGAAATAAGACATAAACTCACATTATTAGTGAATAGTGAATTCTCAAAAGAAAATGTATTAAAACTAAAGTTCTCTCAGTTTTCCAAATATATAGGCTAATATAGTCTTCTCAGCACCAAACAGTGTCCAGATATACTGAGGGTACTCTGTGACATTTTTGCAACTTTTCTCTATATCTAAAATTATTCAAATCAAAATTTTATTAGTAGGTATTTAATCTGCTCTTAAAATGGAATGCTACGTAGCTATCAAAAGGAAAACCCAGGAGGCATGCTGTGTACCAGGTGAAGACCATATATTATTAGTGTCAAACAAAGTGAAGAACTGTGAGCTTTTGTTTATAGGAGGAAAAATCAGAATTTGTGTTTATTTACATGCGCATAAAGAGTATGGGGAAAAAACAGCTCTAATAACCAGAATTACCTGTGGGGCCGGGCACCTTGGTACATGGGAATCCCAGGACTTGGGAGACTGAGGGAGGAGTGGGGGACTAAGAGGCACCTAACACGCTACAGAAGCCTGACCCCCACCCTCCCCGAAAAAGAGCTATTGGGGGGATGTGGGAGACAGAGCAGGCAGGTGGTCACGGTAGACCTTCTTATAAAGTGAAACTCAAATGTATCCCTGATGCAAAAAATAAATTTCCTAAGAATATGTGTTGTGGCCGTCCAGCGTTCTGTGACTTCACAAAGGCAAAAGAGAACAAAGGACAGGGCACGTTCACGAGCCTCACAGCCCAAATTTGAGAAAACATTTTCATTTTCTCGGGGCTTCTAGCTGACCCAAGCAGATTTCCTTCAGGTACAACATCATATGGTTGGTGTCGGTCAAAAGCTGCATTTCTACCACCCGAGCAATTCATCTGGCTACTTCTAAGTCAGGAACCAGGACAAAACCAGGGCCATTCATTTTGACTTCCTGTAGGAAGGCAGTGTGCTCACCGGGAGCAAAGAGCGCCCCTTCTGTTTGTGTTTTCGTAGCAAGGAGGTAAAATGTGTTTACAGTTAGACCAAGTACTGCAGAGCCCTGAAGCGTGAGGTCATCACCATCCCCACCCCTCAGCCACAGCTCTGTTCTGGGCCACTCAGCTCAGCCCAGGTTGCTCCTTGTCAGGTGGTCCAGTCAGCATGGAGCAGCGTTTTAGATTAACTTGGTTTCTGGACTGATTCTTGTTCTAAACATGTTCTGCATGTCTACAAGATGTCCTACAGAGAACCTGCCTCAAATCAGATTGGATCACCCTCAAGTACCACAGAACCCAATTTTTAAAAATATTTTATTATTTTTATTTTATGTGTATGCGTAAGTATTGCCTGCATGTAGGTAAGTTCACCCATGTCGTGCAATGCCCACAGAAGACAGAGGAGGCCATCAGATCCCTTGGTTCTGGAGTTTCAGAAAGTTGTTAGCCGCCATGTGGGTGCTGGGATTTGAACCCAGGTCTTCTGCAAGAAAAGTCAGTGTCCTTAACGGCTGAGCCCCACAGAACCCAATTTTTAAAGACATCCTTAAGATCTGGCCCTCATGTATTGTACCCACTGAAAATAGAAAATATTTCTGAAAAGCATCACGTCTGTTCAACATGTACATGTTCTGTTCTTGTCACCATTCCCTGGACAGCAGAGGACAGCAACTGTTAGCTGGCATGCCTTTTCCAGTAGTTACCACAAGCCATATAGAGATGGGGGGTGTCCTGGAGGGTGTGTGCAGGTTATACAGAGCACCATGGCATTTTATAGAATGAGCATGTGCTGATCCTCATGCCTTGGGGCATCCTGAAGCATGTTCTGTGGATGCTGAGGAAGGACTGTGTGTCTCTCAGGATATCATTTTTCTAGGGATGTGTTGTGTCTGTCTATCCAGGTCCCCAGGTCTCAACTACCTGTGTGTGAGGTGAACATTATTAAGAAGCCAGGATGTTGTCTAATCCATGCTCCATCCCCCACCCAAATAAGACCCATAGTAACAGGCACTGTTTATGTAGTGTTAGCATTTTACTTACCACATTCTATTTAATTCACACACAAATAAGGCTCAGAGGCCTTCAGGCATTCCTTAAGGTGACTTAAGGTCAACTTCAAGAAACAAGAGCCTGTCCCGCTGCAGACTGCATTGCACATGCCTGGCATTGGGCAGAAACCTAGAGAGAATGGCGCAAATATAGTATTACAGAAACTGGTATACAGGCAATAGAGTAGAAATGGGCGGGGCTAGAAACAATACACGTTATAGACTCGAAATGGTACACACTAAAAGTATCGTATAGACTAGAAAGGGGCACACATCTAAGAGCCCAGGAAGTGGTATGCACTAGGAATGGTGCACATACCATAAACTAGAAAGCCACATACACTAGAAACAACACGTTGGACCACAAAGTGGGGTGTGCTAGAAATGCATACCACAGAGTAACCAACCCTCTGAGGGTTTCACGTGTCTTTCTTATTTCCCCATTATGACAGCACTGTCCCCTTGGATACAGGAGTTCTCTCAGAGAGACCACATTCCTTGTTAGCGAGTGTCCATTTGCTTGTCACCAACCTAAGTTCTCCTGAGTCATGTGTAGACTCTTTATTCTTTACCCTAGGTTTCCAAGGGTGAATTTTGTTTCTAGCAGCCTCACTGTTTAAGTGGTTTAATCTTTCACAGTTTAATCATATTACTGAATGTGATTTTTAAAAGGGCAAATATTTCAGTCAGATAAGTGGAAGGATAACTTCCTTAATTTTTAAAGCAATTGTCTACAGAAAGACATTAGGCAAAGAGAAACAGTTTAAAGAGTCAGTTATCTTTCAACATAAGGAAACAGTCTTCTGAATGTATTACTGTATTTGAAAAGTATAGTTTCATCTGGAATTATAATCAATTATCCAAGAATTCCTCTTTTTCTGCATATCTAATTAATACCACTCCCTTAATGACAGATTTTCTATTCATCTGCGAATTATTGTTTCACATATTTTCTTTCTAGATTTCATTCAAGTGTTTTCATTATATTTTATTTGTCTATATTATTTTATGTATATGAATGTATTGCCTGCATGTGTGTAAGGGCACCAATATTGTGCAGTGCCTTTGGTGGTCAGAACAAGGTGTCAGATCCCCTGGAACTGGAGTCATGGGCAGTTGTTAGCCACCATGTGGGTGCTGGGAATCAAACCTGGATCATCTGCAAGGGCAGACAGTGCTTTTAACTGCTGATCCATCTCTCCAGCTCCATTTTTTAAAACAAAAAACCCACAAATGTATGGGTTGGAGAGATGGCTCAGTGGTTAAGAACACTGTTCTTGCAGAAGACCCAAGTTCAAATCCCAGACCCACATGGCAGCTAACAACTGTCCGTAACTGCGGTCCCAGGGGATCCGACAGCCTCTTCTATCCTCTGCAGGCATTGCACGACATGGTGCACTTACTACACACAGACAATACACACATACAAAGTAAATAAAAATAATAAAGAAAATATTTTTTAAAAAAAAACAGATTTATTGTGGAAAGAGAAAAATGATCAATCAAGGTGAATTCCACTTGGAATAACAGGAAAAAGCCAACTTACCTTGTGGCAGTTCAGTGTAGCTCACATACTAAAAAGTGGTCTGTGGGAAAATAGGATAAAATAAGATGTGTGTGTGTATGACACCCCAGGTGAACTGAAGATACACAGGTTCTGGTATATTCAGTCTGCACGATGCTTTCTAGGGCTCTACCCAGTGCCAGGCAGGTTTAATGCAGTACTTAGGAGGGTTTAATTATTTTATAGTTTCATGTTTCTTTCTAATTGCTATAAATAGGAGGCAATCTGAACTAAGTAAATTGAAAACTAGTGTTTGTCTGAAATGTCTTTCTAAAAGCTGTATTAGTAATTTTGATATCTGGTTGTACGTTGAAAGTGTAGCCTTGGGACGTAGCGGGGGAGCTGCCTCCTCTGGATGTGGCTGAGCCAATGATCAGTGCACGTCCTCATAGTTTATCTCCTCCCTTGTCTTCCACCAGCCATTCCATTACAGGAAGTGGGGCATTCACTGGTGGTTTCCTGAGAGAGCTCAAACATTGAGTGCCAGTCTTCACGTAGAGAAATAGAGTCCTCTGAGACCTCCCCACCTAGGCCCCACAGCTGATAGGCAGCTGTTCTAAACACCCAGACACAGATACATTTCTCCAAGGCCTTCCGACTTTCTGCCTCCAGCCACCTAGGTTTTCTGCATGTACATACCCACTATCGCCAGCAGAGACCCCCCTGAACATTCCAGTTACCTGTATCCAACCTTCAAGGGGATTGGTGGGCAGTGTGTGCACATTAGAGATGGTATTTTCCCTGACAGGAGAAAAAAAAGCAAAAATAATGTCACCAGTCAAGAAGGAACAATAAACAGTAATACTTTTACTAAAGATGCTGGACATTGTTACTGCTCTGTGGTGTGTGAGTGTGTGTGTGTGTGTGTGTGTGTGTGTATGTGTATGTGTGTGTGTATGTGTGTGTGTATGTGTATGTGTGTGTGTATGTGTGTGTGTATGTGTATGTGTGTGTGTATGTGTGTGTGTATGTGTATGTGTGTGTGTATGTGTGTGTGTATGTGTATGTGTGTGTGTATGTGTGTGTGTATGTGTATGTGTGTGTGTATGTGTGTGTGTATGTGTATGTGTGTGTGTATGTGTGTGTGTATGTGTATGTGTGTGTG